TTCATTGAGGACAGCGACAGGAGCCACCGACAAGGCGGACAGGGAGCGGGCGGGCGTGGGGAGGGTCACAGGCCCCTCGGAGGTGGCAAGCCCGGCAGCAACAGCAGCGAGGCGGGAGGAGGGCACAGCAGGCAAGCCGCTGACCGTGGCTGTCGAGGGGGAGGGGGAGCGGTGGGCAGGGGGCCCAGGGTGATATAAATATCCAAGGAGGGCAAGCAAGCCCGTCATTTGTCCCGACTTAGAACATGACGTGCAGAGCAGCCAGGGCGCCCAGGAGGACCTGGGCTTGCTAGAGTCCAGACGGGACTCTAGCTGGGCAGCCCCCACGACACTCACCCCTCACCCCCTCACTCCAGCTCCCACGGGTGCTGCTATAATAAGGAGCCGGCTGGCGCCAGGATCCACCGAAGAATGGGGCGTGAGAGGGTCGGGCTCATATCCCCTTGGGAAGGGGTCCAGCCCATGCCCTGTCCATCTCCTGGGGTGCTCTTGGGAAATGCCACGTGGGCCAAGGGGGCGCCACTCCCCTTTCTCCCAGAGGGCCCTGCGCAAGTCACTCAACACAACACCTGGCCCCCAGGGTTAATAGGACAGGCTCCCCAAGGTCACACTGCTAGCCAGAGACCCAGGCAGCCCCAAATTGCAGTCTAAACCACAGGAGTGCTCAGCTGTCCCATAACACTGAACTATGCATCCCCACCCCAAACGTCTCCTGGAATCCCAGGGGTTCTGGAATAGGGAGAACACCCCTGCCTCAAGACCCCCTCCCAGCAGCCCTGGTCTATGGAGGCACAAGTCAGAGGTCAGTAGTCAGGCCTGCACCACATCCGCTGTATGCTGTGCTGACTTGGACCCCAGTGTACCCTGGGAAACAGGATGTGTGTGTGCATCTGTCTCTGTGAGGACAAAATCCCGCTCTTCTCCTCCCAGGAGCCTGGGTTCGCTGGGCCAGATTCCAGGGGGAGCTTGGGCCCTCGCTTCTGAGATGAGGTACCCTGTCCACGCTGGGGGAACCATGGAGATGGTAAGAAGAGGGGCAGGCCCACCAGAGCCTCCTGCTCTCCAGCCCCATGCTTCAAAAACCTATTTCTGAAGGAAACTGGCCTGCAGTGGGCAGCTTTGGGTGGCCAGGGATTGGGCTGGCTCAGCAGCTAAGAGCATCAGGGACAATGGCTGCTCCAAAGGCAGGCCAGAGAGAGCCCAACTCCTGACCAACCTCAGGGCAGCAGCTGGCCAGCAGTGGGCAGGAGCTGAGCCAAGCAAGCATGGTCCTTGGCCGTCTCAGTCAGTCAGCCCCTGTATGGGCTTAGGAGTCTGTGTGGTGAGAACTGGCCCCCAGAAGTAGGAATGCCCTGGCTATGGGTACCATAGCCACCAGCAAGGCCTGGGATAGCCTTCCAACGTCCTGCATACTCTGGGCAACTCTGATGTCCATGCCATTCCTGCATCCTGGGTTTTGACACCTGAGGTCATGGGAACAGCAGGCAGAGAGAAGCCCCCATCCCTGTTATGCCCTACCTTGACCCAGCTGAATCAGCTCCTCCATGCTGTACCTGTCCATAGCAAGCCCCCTGGAGCCTCACGCTAGGCTGCTCCCAGAGCCAGCAGAGAGGAAGGCAAGGCAGGAAGGAGGGAAGGGGTGGGAGGCAGAGGGAGGGCTCACTCATGCCTCCCCACCCAGCTCTAGGAGTGATGGCTCCTCCTCATAGCCACCCGGTAGTAGTCAGCCCAGCAGAGCCCAAGCCTGGAGGACAGGGACCAGTAGGTCCAATCAGCCCATGTGGCTCAGCCTGCCTCAGTCCCTCAGCCCTGGTGCCCCAGCCTCTGGTCTTCCCTACTAGCCTGCCTCACCCAGCCTACCCCTCTTGCAGGCCCCACCAGCCCAGCCCTGCCACCCCACCCACCCACCCACCCACATTCCAGGCATCCATGTGCCCAGCACATTCCACGAGGCCACATGGAAGCAAGTCCCCACACTTTGCCCCTCCTCGATAGTCATATTCCCTCAACCCCCACCCTTCCTCTACCCAAATCCCCTATAACGAGCTCCATCCCAGGCACTGTAGTCTCTGTTCAGGGCAAATGTGACACCTTCTAACCATCCACACCTCCTTCTACCTAGCAGTGGAGGATCTGGGAATTGCAAACCTAATCCCACCACGATGACATGGGTAAAAACGTGCCAGAGTTCTTCAGCTTTCCCCCAAACAAGCAAGACAACCAACCCATATGCAAAGCTAGTGATCTTCCCCCAAACCTGCCTAGATCCACCTGCTGAGCAAGTGATGTGGCCTGTAAAGACAGTAAAGCAGCTCTGCTTCCTCCACTGTCCCCTCCACAACAGAGGGCCACGAGGACAAGTCAGGGTACATAGCTGTGCATGGCAGGAAAGGGAAGAAGGGACGTCTGTGTGCGACCGTTTTTTTGCACTGTATGACATCCTCTGAGAGTGCATGTCCCGAAAAGTGCTCAGGGACGTCTTTTCTCCAGACTTCTGGGTTCATTCTGAATTTGAAGCCAAGGAAAACATTTTTTGGAGTGTAAATGAAATTCACATACACAAACCCCTCCAGTAGCTTTCTAATCACACGAGGAAGCCCCCATGTCCTCACCCTCTGACCCTGGCCACCCTCTGCAAGGCAGCTGTTGACAGGCCAGTTCTTGCTCACCTGCTAGGCCTCAGCTCAGGCACCTCCTCCGAGGGCCCTCCCTGACTGCTCCTGAAGCTGCTTCTTACCACACTCTCCTCACCTGGTTCATCTCCATGTGCCTAAGGTCCCTGGGGCAAAGGCTCCCTCTGGGTCCGACAGGAGGTGACACCCTCCACATGGGTGTGCAGCCTATAGGCCCTGGCGGCCCCATCCCGCAGACCACTGACTTGGGCACACAAGCTGGGGATGGGAGCCCTACGACATGAGCCAGGCAGACTCTCCCAACACACCCCGGCCAGGGCTGGATGGACAGAGGCACCCCATTAGATGGGGGCCATTCCAGTGACCAGCACAGTTGCCCCACAGGCTGCTGACCTTGGCCTTCTGACACTCACTGGAGGGGCCATGCTACATGCTATGCAGAAGGGCAAATCTGGGCAGTTCATTACTTGTTCACTTTTAAAACTCTTGAGAAGCCGGGCATGGTGGAGCAGGCCTGTAATCCCAGTATGCAGAGGCAGGAGGATCACAAGTTCGAGGCCAGCCTGGGTTACATGATTAGATCCTTTCTCAAAAACAAAACAAAAACCCTTTATTCTCACTGGACCTCTAAAGGCAAGGTGGGTCACCAGCAGTTCTACTGGAGTTCTCACTCTTGCCACGTCTGCTAGAGCGGGTAGGGTCTGACTCGGGAATTCGGGCTCAACATGTGCCAGCAGTGTTTCCGTCAATACACAAAGGACATAAACTTCAGTAAGCTGGAAGAAGTGTTCTTCCTTGAATGGCTCATCCAAGATATCTACTCAAAGAAAAAGGCCATGCCAGCTCTTTATACTTAAGATTTAAAAAACAAACAAAACACCTCTGGGAAGCCAAAGGCTTTAGATGGCAGAACTGTCCCAGCCTTTGTACGAACCCATCATGCCCCTACCACCAACATGGGCTAGACCTGGCCCCAAACCACACCCAGCACCCAAGGCCCCATGCTCAGCCCAGCAGGATCAAGGGGAGGGAGGGCACCGCCTGCGGCACTGACTCAGCCTGGAGCTCATTTCCTGTTGGAAACTCTGAGCTGCCACCAGCGGCTGTGGCTGGGAAGGGAAGACTGAGTCACCTCCGTTGGGGACTGGGGGGTGCCCTCCACTCTGCCCACTGCAGCCACACCCAGAACCCCCTCCTAGCTCTACTGCCAACTGCTCACTCAACTGGCCCAACCTGGACATGGGACAAGGAAGTCAAGAAAAGGAGGGCTCCCTCCCACTCACCACATCCAACCCGAGAATAGTAGAGAGTTTAAGACACTGTCACCCTTTTACAAGGAAGCTAGAGAGGCCACCAACTTGCCCGAGGCCATGGGCAGAAGGCCAGAGGCTTCCCTCTACCCCCCCAACCTCCCAGACCCAGACATACTCCCTTAGCAAGGACCTAGTGGCCCAACTAGACAGGCCAGAACTGGGGTTCTCATTCCTCAGAGCCTCCACAAGCAACTGTGCCCAGAGTGGGGACTGCACCTCACCGCAGGTCTCTGTCCCTGTCCCCTAGAGAACAAGCTCCTCCCCAGGTGTTGAAGCACAAAAAGAGTGGTGCTGGGGGGGAGGGCTGAGATGCCCTGAAAACAGTATACCCAGGCACAAACCTCAGGCACAGTGTCCTGCTGGGCTCAAGGACAGAAGGAGGGGTCCCTGGCCTCTACCCTACCAGGGGATGCTCCTGTCCGGCTCTGTTCTTCTCATCACACCACAAGCCACCACACCCAGGCCATGGCCAACCCCAGGTTGGCTGAGTGCCCAGTCACAGAACACGCTTAACACTCTCCGTGCGATACCGAATGTGACCCACACAGCCACAGGGAAGAGGGGAACATGTCGGCCCCACCGTGCAGATTCAAGGCTCAGAGGTCAAGCAGTTTGCCCCAGCCACACGGCTAGAAAGCAGCTATGCCCCTCCCATGCCAGAAGCTCTTCTGCATGCACCCCCATCTCTGAGCAGAGGGGCCTCCCAACAGACAGAGGCCACCAGGACTCCGAGAGGAGTGGGTGGGGGTTAAGGCAAGGACAGTGTTGGAGAGAGGGGCCCAAGCTAGAGCACACAGGGCTCTGCCAACAGCTGGCCCTGCCAGTCCAGGGCCGGCAGGCCCCACCCCCACTGGGATGTACCAGGAGGAGGAGCCACGTGGGTCCACTGGCCAGAGCACCCAGCACCTTCAGGAAGAGGGGACGCCACCTGCTGGTCTGATCAGACCCTGGGCACTCATGCTGCCCACCCAGCCCACCAGGTCTAAGCCTGGGTGCCCCAGACATCTACAGCCATTTCCCACCCCTCTTGGCCTGCAGCCAGAATGCAGCTGACCTGTGGCTGGGGCAGGCTCCGGGCCTGGACTGGCCAGGGTCCCCAGGGTGGTGGCAGGCACCAAAGGGGTTTCAGGTACCCCCTCCTCAGGTTCCTTCCGGCGGTAGACACGCCGCTCCTCACGGGTGGGGTCATCAGCCAGCAGAGGCCCCCGCTTAGGCGGGCAGCCCAGGGGACCCTGAACGGCTTGCACATTGGGGGAGCGACGTGCAGGCATCACCATGGCGACGGGGCGGCGCACGCGCTGTAGAGAGGCAGGCACGATCTCAGGTGGCAGGTGCAGGTACTGGCGTAAGTGGGCGATGCCCTCGTTGGTCAGATACCAGTAGAAGTGGCGCCAGGCGAAGGTCTCCCGCACCAGGCCTCGAGCCCGCAGGGAGGCCATGGCACGTATGACCTGCAGGTTGGTGACGCCAGGCACGTGGGGATGCAGGGTGCGGGGCCTCCGGTCCTTCTTGGCCACCATCACCCCCTCACGAAAGAGCACCTCATAAATGGCTCGAAGCTGGTCCAGCGGCATGAGCATGCCAGCCACCATGGCTGCTGGGAGCTGGCCGGTCAGCACAGGGGTGAGAGCAGCAGGCGGGGCACAGCCAAGAGGCTGATGAGGCTCTCCTGGCACAGGGTGCAACAAGGTCTGCTGGCAGGCAGGCAGGCAGGCCCCGGTGCTAAGCACAAGGGCGCAGACTCAGGGGCAATGTGGCTCCAGTGCCTGGCTCTGTGGATTCCTGCCGGCACTGCCGCCTGCCTGAGCCTCCCGCCTGCCCGCCCTCCAGGACGCTGGGGCCGGCCCCCTCTGACTCAGCAACAGGGTGGCCCCTCCTACCCATAGTGAGCAGGGCCCCTAGCAGAGTGAGGGGCACCTCAAAGCAGCAGCCACCCCCATGGCTGCCCCCCCTCCCCTTTCAGGCCCCACGGCTCCAGTGTCAGAAATTACATCAGTTTCTAAAACACTTCTTCAAGATTCCCAAGACTGTAGGGTGGGGCGTGTAGTAATATGGACCAAGAATCCCAGAGAAAGGTGGCAGAATGAGCAGAAGGCCAGGAGCAGAGAGAGCAGGAGGGATCCTCAGGCCAGGGAGCCTATCTGAGGTGTGGTCTGCGGGGGTCATAGATTCACAAGGATCTGAAGAGGGGACTACAGGTCCAAGAGAAGAGGAACAGGGGCTGGGGGAAGCTGGAGTCTTGTGTGCCAGAGCACATGGACAGACTGTTGCAGGTTCCACTGCTGCTACCATCAGGGAAATGGACAGAGTCTCCACCTCCAAACGCCAGGTCTAGAGGCAGTGACCACAGGATTTAACACTTCCATGCCAGGTCCGATCAGGATCAGGCCAAAACATGGACACTCTGAGCAAAGCTCTGAGTGAGGGGCTTTGGGTGCGGCCTCTATCCACCCCTACAGGACAGCTGTCAGAGGCCAGGGACTCCCAGCTGCCACAAGGAATCAAAGTCACCAAGTCCCTGCCACCTCAGGCCTGGAGGCTGTGCCGCCACACAGACTTCCTACTTCAGGCGGCACTCGCCTGTGGTCAGAGGAACAGATGCTGGGGAGAGGACACCAAGGAGAATGTCAAGGACCCTAAGGAAAGGAAAAGGAAACTGCCACTTGAGGCCCTGGGAGTGGCCCAGCTACATCCATCATCACCTGCAGGCCCTCACGAATCTAGCCAGGGACAAACTGTGCCAACAGGCCACCCAGCACCCCCACTCTCCATGCTGTGCCGCATCAACCCCCACCCGGATCCGTGCTTTCCCCAAGCCGACACACCCATTCCCACCAAGCACTGCAAACCCAGGAACTGATTATAAATAGGGCGGGGGTGGGGGATCCTGCGGTGGGAGGCGCTGGCCAGCTGCCGGCAGGCAGCCAAGAAAGCAGCGCGTGGGGCGGGTTTATGGGCGGTCGCCATGGCGCCAGCAGCAGGCTCCAAACAGCACACCCCAACACACACACAGACGCACACACCGGGCAGGGCAGCGTGGCCGGTGGAAACTCTGAGGGCTCAGCCAACTGTTCCCGAAACCCTCCCACCAGCCGGCCAGCTCACTGCCGCAGGCTCTCCCTGCGCCCGCCCCCAGCCAGGCCCAGGCGGGACGGGGGCCAGCCCATTGCAGACGGTCCTGAGAGGGTGGGGCGCGGACGGCAGGGCTGAAGTGGGCAGCGGCCACACCTCCTCGGCACCCAAGGACGGACCACCAGGACTGTAGCTTTGGGAACCCTCCAGGTCTGCCCAGTCCTGTGCGGAGAGACCTTCTCTCTCTTGACCAGTGCCTCGGCTCCCCACCCCCAACCTCCTGCACTCACCTCCTACCCATCACCGCAGCCCCCCTGTGCCGGCACCCCCGCCATGCCCACCCAATACTTCCCTTTCATCTTCCTGGCATGCTTCTCTAACTTAATCCCCAAGTCCCCACCAAACCAACCCACATTGTCCCCGGGTGATGCCAAGCCGCACTCAAGACCCCCCTAAACCCTCGGACCTAAAGTTTCTTTTCCAGCACAGGCCGGCATGGGCGCCCGCCCCACTCCTAGGTGGTGGCCAGCCCCAGGCAGGAGAGGGCAGTAGCGGCCGCTCCAGCGCAAGGGGGCGGGACTCGGTGGGATTCCCCGCCCTCTACCAGCTAGAGGCTGCAGGACAGGGAGGAGCCTGGAGCCTCGTGTCCCAGCACCGCCTGCTCCCACGCGTGCGCCGCGCACATGCACACACCCCAGGTCTGGGTCAGGGTACACCCCCTCCCGAGCTGGGAGGACGCCCCCCGCCCCGCCTCCACCCTGCAGAACCGAAGCCCAAGTTGCCGATTCAGCACTGGGAGAGCTCGGGAGCACTGCTGGCCCGCGGGCCACTCTGCCCCGACTCCACTGCCCTTCGGGTTTCCAGGGCAACCAGTCCGGGACCTTGGGCAGCCCCCAGGCCCGCCACCCGGGACAAAGAGCCGCAGTGTGACCTTGCTGGGGCCAGTCGGCCCGGCGCCTCTGCACAGCTATCCCCGAGGCCCTACCCTGCCCCCTCAGACGCCAGGCTGCAGGGCGCGCGTCCTGGGCGGGGAGTGCGGGGCGACCGCAGTGGGGCTGGGCTCCCATTGCATCCAGCCCCGCCCCCCGACACTCCGCAAAGCTGCAGGGCCGGAGCCCCCAGCCCCGGGAGGACCCCCCCCACACACACACACACACCAGGAGGAGCCCAGGTGGGGTGCGAGCCTGGAGTCTCCCCACCTCCAGCTCAGCGACCCCAATGTTGCCCCAGGGCGACAGCCCCTGACCGCTGTCTGTGGGGGCTGCATCCAGCCAGAGGTCACCGTGTTGCCCGATTTGGGTCCCCAGAATGCACCTTTGAGGGAGCTGATCTCGTGCTGGATGGCTCTCGAGGGGTCCATCTCTCCGCCGGGGGGCTGAGGGCGGCGTTGTAGCCGCCACAGAGCGTCCAGCCCGGTACCGCACCGCACTGCCCAAGGCCAGCGCCGCAGCCTGGAGGCGGAGCCGGGAGGTGTGGGGCGGGGCTTGCTGGCCAGAGGCGGGACTTAGGCTGATCAATGCACCGGACATTACTGTCCCAGGCGCATGCTCCGGGTCATGCACCTCCCCTCTTCTCCTTCCAAACCTGCTGTCCCTGGGCGCGACCCACTAACTCCCGCTAGACTGCCACTGGGCCACCTGACCCTAGCCAGGCACACTTGAGCAGCCCAGGAGCCACATTTGGAATACCCAGAGGGTCACAGGTGCACAGGGTCTGTCCCTGGCCTTGAAGCTGTCCTTACTACCTGCAGAAGACACCCACCTGTCCAGCCTTCTGACCTATTCAAACAGCCCCTCCCCCTGCCAGGGCAGGAGGGTAGCCCACAGTGTGCCCTTCCTTGGGCCTTGTCCCCTGCCCAAACCCTTCTCCAACATGCTCCTAGGTCACCCCCACCATCCTACCCCTCAAGATGCTTCTATGTTCCCAGGGGGCTTAGCTCACCCCAGCTTCTGCCTCTGTCTCTCCTAGCCAGACTGGTCTTGGGATGCCCCGTCTGCCCAGCTCTGCAAATGCCATACACATCCACTACCCAGTGGCTCAGGCCAAAATCCTGGGGTCATCATTCCTCACTGCAGCCCCACAGGACCTGCTGACTCTGACTTTCTGTCTATCCATTCATCACCATCTCCATTACCACCAGGAAGACACATAGTGCCTTGCAGGGCCCCAGCACTCAGAACCCAGCACAGCTGCTCTGGTCCAACTGCCCTAGCCTGCAGTGGTGGACGTTATTCCCTGCCTAAACTCCTGAGGAGAATGCCCAGGCTGGCAGGGTGAGATCCGCTCTGCCTCCCTCTGCATGCCACAAGAAGTCATAAGAGAATATTCGAGCCACGCCACACCACAGGCATGCACCTTGGGCACTCTGTACTGGGATGGCCTCAATGTAAGTAGCCAGCCTGCCTCAGTCTCCTGCCAAACCCAAGTCCACATCCTTCCTCTGTCCTCCTGCCAGGTCCCCTGCTGGTTTCTCAGACCCATACCCTGCCAGGTTGTGCCATCTTCAGGTGTCCACACTTTCTGCAGGCAGGCCCACCATGAGCAAGGTTGGGGCTGGGGAGGAGGATGTGACGACAGCACAGGGGTAAGGCTGGCAGCACCCACAGGTACAGGCCAAGAAGAAACCAGGCGCCAGCCCCACCTGAACTCAAGACCCAGCAGGGTCCCTTAGTCCCCATCCCTTCCTTCTCTCCCTGGGACTCAGCAGATCCAGGACACGGATGGGTACCAAGAAACACCAATTATCAAACTTGGGGAAATGGTGAAGTGAGGAGTTTAAAACGCATTTTTGTGAGTCCCTACTTTTTATTAAGCTATATCTGGATAAGCCTGAATTTGACCAACAAATAAACAATACTTTTTTTTTTTAAGCAGGCTCTCACTATGCACCCCAAGCTGGCCTCAATCTCTCCATCCTCCTGCCTCAGCCTCCAGTGTGCTAGGATTACAAAAAAATGAGCCTCCATGCCCAGCTCAAAACTTCCTCATTAAGCCTCAAATGAAACTGATAGACATTTACAAACAGATCTAAAAACTATGAAAAAGCTCACATTAAAATCAGTGCTGGTTCTATTTTTTTAATGCATAAAATTAAATTTTGTAAGATTACGGTTTTAAGCTAGTGAAAGATGAGAGCAGACAACTGTTCAGAAAAGGATATCCTAGGTATTTGTGTACTGACCTCAAGTCAGGCTGCCCACCTGTTTGTGGACAGCTGCAGTCACCGGGCTCTCAGAAATGCCATGGTAGCCTGTAATCACAGCACTTTAGGTGGAGAGAGGAGGATCTCAAGTTCAAGGCCAACTTGAGCTAGGTACATACTGAGACTTTGTCTCAAAGAAAAGCCACGACAGCTGGAAGGTTCACTGAAGAAGCCCCAGTCAGCCTGCCCTCCCTCAGCCTGGAACAGCAGCCACCTGGTGCAGCCTCAGAAGTTGAAGCCACATGACCCTTGGGAAAGGTTCACAGGGCACACAAGCACTTCTCTGTGGGCAAGAAGGGGCATTAAATGGGGAGAAAAGGGGTACAGCCATCCAGCAAAGGAAGAGGGACAGCACGGACAGTGGCTGAGGTGAGAGAAAATGAGTCCAGCCACCCTCAAGAATGTGGGAGTGGCTACAGCAAGAAGGTCCTGCAGACAGAGCCACAGGCAGGATTTCGCCAGGACAGGCAGATCCTGTGCTGTAGCTTGGCAAGAAA